TTTGTGCTGCTGTAAACATGAGTGTGCATGTGTCATTGTAAGAGGATCTTTTCTCTTTGGGAAGATACATTAGAAGGGGAATAGCTAGGTCAGAAAGAATTTCTAGCTTTAATTTTTTGGAGAATCTCCATACTGTTTTCCATAGTGGCCGTGCTAGTTTACAGTCCCACCAATGATGAAGACAGGTTCCTTTTTCCCTACCGCCTCTCCAGCATTGTTATTATTTGACTTCTTGATCATAGCCATTCTTTGTAGAGTAAAATGGAATCTCAGGTGTTGTTTCAATTTGCATTTCTCTAATGGCCAGAGATGTTGAACACTTTTTCATGTATTTATTGGTCAGTTGTACTTCTGAGAAGTGTCTGTTTATTTCAGTTGACCATCTTTTATTGGGCCTTCACTTTTTTGGGGGTACAGATTTGAACTCAGGACCTTGCACTTGTGAGGCAGGCACCAGCACCATTGGGCTAACTCTTCAGCCCAGGCCTTCGCTTTTATATTTAAAAATTTTTACATTTGTTACCAAATTACATAGTCCTCTGAACAGTCAAATCTACTGACTTCAAATAAAATGGTTATCTTTCAATTAATTTCCAGATGTTTAAAGTTCACTTTATTAATAAGTAAGCCAACTTACAGCATGTATTCAGCTAGGTAAAAGTGTTCCTTTTCCAGCACATTCTTCCCAAATTTTAGCATGCATCAGAATCATGTGGAGGCTTGTTAGAAATAGATTGCTTGGCCTTACCTCCCAGATTTTCTGACTCAGAAAGTCTGAGTCAAGGCCAAAGAATTTTCCTACCAAACGGATTCCCAAATAATGGTGGGATCCAAAATTCAAGAACCACTGCTATACCAGAAAAGATTCATGGGTATTCTATAGCATTCCACACTCCAAGGCTAAAATAAAAAATGGATGATAAGCCAGAAATTATCAGGCTATAGAAAACATAAGCAATAGTTTTACAAATCTAAAATGGATCTGAAAATAACATCTTAATGAATTATTTTATACAGTCTTGTAAGAGACCAGTAAACCAACACCATCCCCAGAACTGTGCTAGTTACAGAATAATATGATTTACTGAATAATACAATCACATGTAAGATGGCGATCCACTATCAAGAAGCTTTAGATCTGGTTGAAGCAAGCAAGTCTCTTCCTGATAGACAATCCACTTACATGTTTGTCCAAATATTCAGTCAGGAGGTAGAACTCAAAGAATTTTGTGAAAAGTTGTAGTATTCATTGTAGTTATTTCTCGTTAACTTTTACTCAAATTCAGATCTTTCAGTGCCCGGTGAATAGGAAACAATTTGAAATTTTCATATTGTAAATTGATAGCACATAAAATATTGATGTGGATTTAAAGATGAGCCCTATCGCTAGGGTTGTACAAGTTTAATTTCTCTCCCACAACTTCTCTACCTAAAAGTGAGTATCATTATAACAACCCAAGCTTGACACTCTAAGGTGGCAGTAAAACCTAACATTCACTGAAGAGAGAGAGAGACAGAGAGAGAGAGACAGAGAGAGAGAGACAGAGAGAGAGAGAGAGAGTTTGAAGATTGAACTGAACCGAACCCAGGACCTTCGTACTGAGCAATATATGGTCCTTTTTAATTTTTTACTTTGAGAGTGGGTTTTAGTAAGTCACTGAATTGCCCAGACTTGCCACTCTCCTGCCTCAGCCTTCCAAAGTGTTGTGATCACATGTGTATGCCACCTTGCTCAGCAGTAGTACATAATTTACATGTGTAAATTGTTACATAGATGCCTGTTTATTTGTTTCTTAGTATCCACAAGGAATTGGTTCTAGAACTTCCTTGGGTACCAAAATCCACAGATGCTAAGGTCTCTTCTGTAAAACATTTGTATGTAACCTGCAAACATACTCTTGTATACTATCAATAATCCTCAATTATACATATAAATACCTAATACAATATAAATACTATGTAAATTATTGTTATACAGTATTATTTAGGGAATGATGACAAGAAAAAAGTCTGTGCGTGTTTAGTACATACATGATTTTAAAAAATTATTTTCAGTCCTTGGTCAAATTGCACCTGTATACGTAGTTGGATAGGGAGGTGGAGGGCCAACTAAAAACAGGCAAAACCATAATGAACAGTAGAAAAGCAATTATTTCAATGTTGAAGGGTGACTGGGAAGAAGTGTGACAGCCTTTGGGGTGTTGGAATGATCTATATTTTGTTGTAGGTAATTACACAAATGAGCACACATGAAACTTCATGAAGATATACAGTTAAGAATTATGCACTTGTCTGGGGATTTAGGTTAGTAGTTTTACCGCCTGCCTTGCAAGCACAAGCACCCGAGTTTGATACCTAATACCAAAAAACAAAAAACAAAAAAACAAAACCAAAAGTGTTAAAAAAAAAAAAAGAATTATGCACTTTATTGCATATATGTTATATCTCATGAAAAAAGAAAACAAAGCCAATATTCTGATGACTATTATGAGATATACATTTCCATGCTAAATAAATTCCAGCTCTGGTGTATTAGAAGACTGAAAAGGTATTATTAGTCTAGTCAAAAGGATCCAGCTGAGTCTACTAAGTATGAAACTGACATGGTAAAGTTACACTTCCCTCGCAGCACTATATGCTGCCCATTCATCAGTGGGACATCTGGGAGGCGTACTGAGTAGCTTTTATTCAGCAAACATGCTGTGTGTTAAGAAATGCTCCACTCTGACTGCTTTAAATTTGTGAGTCAGGACTTGGAGGAGGAGTGAGACCATCCCCACTTGGCGCCCTTACTGGCCACAGATCCTTGGCTTTGATTCTTATTAGTGGTGTCTGTCAGATTTTATGGTTCTCCACATTCTAAAATACAAGTTGTATAAATAAATGACACATGCCTCAGGCCTGCAGATGCCTTTAGATTATTTCTCAGACTTCCCCGCAGGCCAGTTCTCCACCTTCCTGCTGTTCAGGCCTCTCCATTCATAATATAACACAGACTGGGCACTTGGATTTAAATTAGCAGGAAGAGTACTGGAAGTTTTACTTTCAACTTTTGTTTGCCCGTTGTTGTAGCAGCTCTCGGTGGGGATTGATCAGTGTACAGTCTACAGGATTACAACTAACAAATGCACAGAAATTATTTGAGAGTGCACATCTACTCAATTAAAAATGTCCCTATGAATGTTAACAATACATTGGTATGCCATGTGCTGCATGATTTTTGCAAAACTAAACGGGAACATATCAGAAAAACTGGTAAAGATAGAATTAAATCAGCTTCTGCCCTCACATTCAGTAATACATCTTGCTCCTTAGGCAGAAGGGAGCTGTTGAAATTTCTGCATGTTACCTTCATTTAAGGTTTCTGTGAGGTGAGCACATTAGCTGCAGGCATCCGTAGCACTCACCTGTAATCCGGCCCCATGGGAGGTTCGGATAGGAAGATCATAGGTTCAAAACCTGCCTGGGCAACTTAGTGATTTAGTAAGATCCTATCTCAAAATTAAAAATTAAAATAAAATGGGCCAGGGATTTAGCTCAGCGATTTGGTGGCCTGCCTTGCAAGTGCAAGGACCCGAGTTCAATCCCTGGTACCAAAAAAATAAAAATAAGTAAAAAAAAAAAAAAAAACCCCAAAAGCTCAATGCAAAGGGCTGGTGTTCCATCCTCAGTAATGTAAAAAATAACAATCCTCCCCCAAAAGGAGAAAAAAATGAGCACACTAGAAATAGGAAAGAATATCTGTCAACTCTTTAATCACTCAACACTCACTATATTAGATTAAGGGAAAAGAAATATCTAGGATCCAGAGAAAGAACTGAGTCCTGTGTTTTCTTGCCTTATAACACCAAGCTCAGATCAGCACTAACACAATGGACATCATTTTTGAAAGTGTAAACATTTGTTCACTGCTCATCACCAGCCATATGCAGGAGATACTATATTGTAATTGCTCTGGGTCTATGGGTGCCTGAATTCTATGGCTGGGTTTGGTTTTGGTGCAGAGGCAATGGTGGAAAGACACGCTTTTCCCCGTTGTCCCTGAAGATGATTTTCAGGTTTTTATCACAGTGGCATTGGGTCAAGTCCATCCACAAGGAAAGAATGACAAGTGGCTAATGGCCTTTCAATGTATATTTGTTAAAATGACTCTAACAGAGAATCAGAATCATCCTAAGAAATTTTAAACTTTTTAAACTGGTTTTGCATAAAACACTCATGGTCAGTAGTTATTTCCCTTTCTTTTAAAAGTGGAATTTAGAGAATTGAAATCGCTAGTTCATTGCTCCTTAGTCATTTTCTTTTCACTCAATCTTAACTTCTTTTCATTCTGTCCTATTTCTTTTTCCTACGTTTAGAGACACTTAGGTATAAATGTTTCAATTCTTGAGCCAGGTTGTCTAATTTCTAACCCCAGCCAGCTGTGTGCTCTTGGACATTGTTACTTCACCTGTCTGTGACTACTTTCTTCACTCACCAAAGGGACTGATTATTATGAAACCTAGCTCGTGGAGCTGTTAGAACCCACGAGTGAGCAGGGCAAAGCTCCTAGAACAGCGTCGAGGGCATGAACACTGTTAGGTGTTGGCTGTGCTCTTGGTCTTTCTAAAGGACTCCCCTTTACTTTTTACTCCACGATTAGCCTCTTCCTGGTGCTGTTTCTCTCCTAGTCTTAACTTTTAGGCTTTGCTGTACATTGGGCAGAACTTTTGGCATGCTTATTTGTTTATTTGTTGGTATTTATTTTTCTTCTGAGGCATTGAGTCATGATTCTCTGGTTGGTGGAAAATGAAGAGATTCTTATTGACCTTTATTACACAACTACCAAGACCTTCTTATAGAATTTTAAGACTTTCAGTTGTAAAGGAAAATTAAGAAAAGAGAAGTAAACAATTTTTAAAAGGATGTCACTTGCTAAGCGATTCATTTATTACCACCTACGGTCAGGCACTAGTCATAAGACAATCGAAGGAAATAGATGAATAGAGCACTCACCGATATTTATTCATTTATTTATTTTTGGCTGTCAGATGATTGCTTATTGAAGTATTTTCCTTTGTACTCCTGAACTAGCTGGACATTCCACTGCACCACCATGAAAGTGGTGGCCATAACCACAGAAGCCCACGGTCTGGGAAGTCCCAAAGATTTCTTCAGTGGTTCCAGAGAGTTCTCTGACAAAAGAACAGTACCACATGTGTCAGTCAATGTTGATAATTTCATTAAAAATGACACTTCAGTGGTGCATGACTGTAGTTTTAGCACTCCGGGAGGCTGAGGCAGGAGGATTGCAAATTCCAGCCCAGCTTCAAAATAAAAGAGAGGGTGGAGGTTGCAATTCACTGTGAAGGCCCTGGGTTCAATCTCTAGTTCTGAAAAAAGAAAAGAAAAAGCAAAGAAGAAATACTTCTGTCTTAATGTTTGTCTGTTTCTTTCTGTCTCTTAGCAGTTCCTTGAGGATTTTGATGATGGGGGAAGAGCATCTAGTTTAATTGTCATGTTTCGGAAATAATGTGGAATATTAAAAGTGTACTTGCAAATTATAAAATCTAAGGTCTGGCAGAGACTGAAAGATCACTTATGCTAACCACAGCCAAAAGCTGTGTATATTTGCGATATTCTCTATAAAAGTTCCAGCTTCAATGAAGCACACTGCCAGACTGTCTCATCAATTCAAGAGGCAACTTACTTGATCTTAATTAGCTGTGATTCTTGGGAGATTCTAATTTTAAAATTAGAATACTTGCAGTTTTCATCCACTGTTTATTTATTTATTTGACTCTTGAAAAGTCTTATTGAGTAAATATAATGCATTTTTCCATTTAAAAAAAAAACCTTTGGGAATTTGCTGATTGTAAGCATGTTTCTCCTAGACTGCTCTCTTGATATTCAGCTGAGCTAAATATCCGTGTGAATGGTCTGTTCTGAAGGAGCTTAGAATTCACTAATAAGCTTTTGATTTTGATTCCAAATTGAACCCAGTACTCCATATATAACAGTGAGTACAGGGAGTTACTGCCTATATCTACTATTCCGGCTTTTAGATGTTATATTTCCATTAGTGGAACCCAAGATCATAGCAGCTTATTTTTGGTAGCTGCATCATCGTTGTGAATAATATTGTGTTAATTCTATCCAATTGGCTTTTTCCCTGCCTCAAGGCACATTCAATCAGTAGCATATTCTGTGAAGGTTCCATAGCATTCTATACAGACTGTTATTGTATGACAAAATGTAAATCAATTCTAATTATTTTGTTTTTATTCTAATTTATTCTAATTATTGTGTTGATGAACTTGATTATGAACACAGCATAGGTGAATTTTTTTTTTTTTTGCAGTGGGTTTGAATAACCCATCTGTTATTCAAAATATGCCTGTTGAAGAAATGTCAAATGAATGCCTTGATTGTGCTGAGTGTGGGGGTGGGATGGGGATTGAAGCCAAGACCATCATACTGAGCTACATCCCCAGCTCTTTTGAGACAGGCTGTCACTTAGTTACCTGGTTTTGAACTTGCAATTCTCCTGCCTCAGGAGGCGCTGAAATTACAGGTGTGCTTCATCATATCCAACTTGATAATGTTTTCTAAGGTAGTCTAGTTAGCAAACCTCACTATATAAGAACATCATATGAAAATTTTGGTATCAAAGGCTCATAGACATTAATGTAAGACCTAAAGTCTCACTTCCACTCCACGGAGCGTGGACAGCCAAAAAGGCCTCCACGATGCTGGGCCCTAACACCCAGCGAGGCTCCGGAAGCTCAACGGAGAAACGAGAAACCCAGGAAGGAACACACCAGGCTAGATGGTAAATAGACCTTTATTAGTCTGGCCAGACGGCGCTCCCGGAGCCAGGTGGCTCAGAGAGGCAACTGCTCAGGGACTGAGGTGCTTTTTATAAGGTTTTTCTAAACAAAGAGTCAGGGAATTCACAGAACAAGACTGCAAACACATTGCTTATCTTATGCAGGAAATGTTCTAGGGTCACCTTTTGTCAAACCATTTGCCCCTCGGCAGGCTGTTAACCAAGGTAGCAATTAGCATATGAAGAAGCACAGTCTGGCCTATTAGCATGGAGTCACTTTAGCTTATTCAAGTCTTACAATTAATAAGCCCATCTCCTTTCTTAGAGTCCTGCTTATATAATATTCATTTGAACCAGCTGAAGGTTAATATGACTTAAGTCTAAGGAACATCAGGAAAAAAGATAATTTAACCCAACAGCTTAAATCAAGTGCATGCCCTCTGTATATCTCAGACTATACAAACACTGGCAACATTAGGCAAGAGAATGGCTAGATTACTGTGCAGCGTCCTGCAGCATTCACCATGGAGAAGTAATCAGCTTTACCATGTAGAAGCCTGTTCCAAGGAGACCTGATATTAGAAACATTCAGGGAATTCTGCTTCTCTAGCAGTTACATGTCACCCAACAGTCTGGAACACAGAAACAGATATAGAGAACAAGCATGCCTTTGAGGGGATTGCAGTTGGACGGACCTTAAACTGGACACTGGGGGCTTAGAAAATTATAGTCCTGTAGTATGTTGATTATGCTTTATGCATGAAACAAATCCTTCCTTTTTTTTTTCTCTCATACTGGGCATTGAACAAGGGACTTTCCAGTTAGCTATATCCCCAATCTTTCAAAATTTTACTATTTTGAGATAGGTCTCCCTGAGATGCTAAGGTGCCCAGGCTGGGATCAAACTTGCTATCCTCCTGCCTCAGCCTCCCAGAGTTCTGGGATGAGGGGCATGCCCCACCGTGTTGTCTTGAATATCCTTCCTTAACAGTTCTTTCATTAGTACATATTCCCTGCTAACAGTGCTATGATGAACAAACAGGAAAATATACTTTAAGGTCTTATTTCAAGTGGATTTTACAAACATGATATTTATTTTTCAGTTCAGCTTTGAGAGCAGTGCTTCCGAATGACAGCAAACAGAAAATGTTCTATCAAGTTTCCCCAGCAATGAAGCTCTGCATGCACTAGTTGATGTCCAGAAATGAGAAAGTAGACATTCACGTCTTTATATGATTACAAGGTGCATCAGTTATAGCTCCCTTCCTTTCTGTCCAACAGTTCCCATTGGTGAGGTTAGTTTTAAATAAAACTGTTGAGGGCCAGAGATTTAGCTTAGTGGTTCCGGCGCCTGCCTCACAAGCGCAAGGACCCAAGTTCGATCCCCAGTACCAATATATATATAATATATGTATATATATCTCAGAACCAAGTGGCTGGCTCAGAGAGGCCCCTAACTCAGGGGCTGAGGTCCTCTTATAAGGAGTAAAAGAGGGGGTTAACATTATTTTTGGGCTCCCAGATAGGGGACAAAGGTCTGCTGACTTGAGCTGGTGGTCAGCAGTCACATGCTCAACAGTCACATATTGATGAGTGACAGGTACCACCCATAGGATGTC